CATAAACTGCTTTGATAAGGGCGAAAAAATCGAGGTCATAAACCGATTTGAAGGGGGAAAAAAAACAAAACAGTAATACATGATGTAAACACTTTTCGTATGATGGCTGATCATGACTCTCGTTTCTGCATAGAATTGTCGTTTCATGCGTTATTACTCAATATCTGCTATATGATGGATAACGTAAACAGAATTTCTTTTCAAAGATACGCTATACAAGACGCGCATCAAAAAAATCCCTCTCTTTTTGAAATTCTAATTTCAAAGGCAAGGTTACCAGAGTCGTTTACTTCGTACCTGGGATTCATTTTCCGTAGAACAATCAAGAAGTAAATGCTTGCAATAAGATTGAAAGTCTTTGTTACTGGTCCCCGCTTTCCTATCGAAAATCAAAGTTCAAAGATTTGCTTAATACAGTGTAACAAGTAACGTAATAATAAACCGTTACTCAATCACTGTTTCAAAATGTTCCTCCCGTTAATACGGTGTTGTGAATAAGAGAACCAGTTAGTTTGACTGCTGATTACATAATGTTTCATGCATATGCATGATTATAAGGGCTGATTAACTTGTAATTACATCACACGAGTTGGTGAAGATCGATTAAAGGAAAGCATTAAAATATTGACACGAAATCCATGGATAAATGCAGTCAGCAACCACCCTGGTATCAGAAAGTTTCACAGCCTCCTCCCAAATTAGCTTTTAACTTTTGCCACATGATGGTAAAAATCGTGTTAGCCTAGCCATAATAACGCATACCGATCTCTGTATTGTATTATGATTCTTTTTTTCCCTTGTGCTAATGAAATCTTGAAATAAAAATGATGTATTCTATGGGCAGAAGGGCAGTGATTAGTAAGGATCATAACTAAAATCGCGCAGAGCCGATATTATCACTAAATGGCAACATGCCACACTATTTTAGACACGTATTTCATCAGATTGACAAAGCCATCTAAACAAAGGGAATTTGCTGTCTTTATTACAAGGCGCGCGGGGGGCAAATCCTTACAACCCGATGGAACGAACACAAAAAAAAGTCTTAACCGTAAATAGAATATCGAATATACTGGGACGTTGTAGAAAAAGGCTGGGGATCGTCTAACATGCGTTCCAAAGGACAACTCTTTCTCGATAAAGCGCCATCGATGCGATTCTAAACATGTGAACATTAATAAGACAATCTTGTGAGACTGGTAATCAAAGTTGGTTCGAACCAATCAGCGACGGCTCAGCCTACCTCTTCGCCATATTAGTTGCACTAAAATTTACATAGTTTAGACTCATTAATTTATATGCAAAATAATAATGATGATGCTCTTTTATTAGTGGCCATTGAACTCTAATTGGGAATAACTTATATCGATATCGGAACTACGTTATCAATTCTGGACGGAAGCGTGCATTGTACGACAAGAGTAAGATATTGGGAATAATCTGCTTTTATGTCGATATTGTTATATTTTGGCGTACGATCTACGGCCTGCTTATTATGTTTATTGGACGAAATTGTGAGATTGTTTATCAAATGCATTGTCACAGTATTTAATAATAACAGTGGGCGGTGGTTTTTAGTGTGTGTGGAATGCATTATCATGTTGTCATAGCATGGCCTGTTCGTGAAGATCTGCAATTCGTTCCAATGAAAATGTTACCCACAGATCTTTGGGGTTGGTGCACTATCTTCTCTCCTCAAACGCTCCTTCTTTTAATCATGTTTGTCCCACAAGCATTTATTCCTGTTTTGCATTTTGCTCTGATCGTGATGAATATTCCTTATTGTTGCACAAACAACTGTGTTACCAACAAGATGTCTGTTGTCGTTCCCAGGAATGTTTATGGGGAGGGGGAAAGAGTAGGAGGATGTCTAATGCGGCATTTACCGATAATGCGCGGTTGTGTGTTACAATTGATATCTATTTTCATAGTCACTATAACCTTACCGTTTTGTGTTATCAAACGATTCGGAATCACAGGCTCACGTAGATTTGTTGTGATTGGTCGCTGATATGTAGGAATGATAAGTGACTCACTGTTGATGTCAATAATTGATATTGCGTTATTATTTGTGGTTAGATAATATTTAATATGTGGTGCAAATCACACAAGCAATCAGGCGGGATTATTATTGGATGATTGCGAATAGATGCCCATGACAGACACTGCAAATTAGGTTAGGATACTTGTCACTTACTTATTGCATATATCCATAGATGCCACTGTTACTCATGCACTGTCACCATCATCATCACAGTATTCCCTGCGGTATCAGGCGTTTGGCGCAGGTCACGCATAACGATGACGACATTTTTCCCTGCTTTGGGGGTTGATTGACAAAGCAGATGGAAGAAAGAAGAAAAAAAAGTCGATAATGGGGAGGGGGTGGGGTGTGTATGATGTGTATGTGTGTATGTGTATGGTGTATGTGTATATCAATGGGTGTGTTGTGTGTGGATGTATGTGTATGGATGGATGTATGTGTATGATGGATGGCGTTGTATGGGTGACGGGTGATTACAAAGAAGGTTGGTCGTTACAATAATAATAAGAGATCAACAAACATAACATAAATAATGACAAAACAAAGTAAGCACGTCAAATAAACGCACCCACATGCCATTTACTCCCTTGATCACATCTTCTTCTAACACAACCATCTCCGTAGTATATCAAGATGGGAGTTTCGTATTATACTGCATTTGTTATAATGACCGACTAAAAAAGTCAAAAGAAAGGGAGAATTGTCCATTTGGCGGTTGGGGCCATTTGCGATACTTTATTATAAATCATTAATTAATGAATAAACAATTACGTTATATAATACAATGAGGGGGGAGGAGAGATAATAATAGCGATAATCAAATATTGTAAGTCAATATCAATATACTCTGTATTATATAATGTTCAGCCAATCATACGGTCGTACTAATACGTAAATCTAAATTTCATTCTAACCAAGTTTTCTTCTTTATTGTCACTATTGCTTGTCTCAGCATAAACTCAAAATTCTCGAATCGGAAGTATATCCGGTGCATTGCCGGTTTTTCATGTGATACGACTATCGACATTAGCACCCTCCCCCCCCTTTCTTCTCTTATGCTACGGTGAATGGTAAGCTCGGGATGACCAAATATAAATAAGGATACACGGCAATCCCTGTATAACACATTTGGTCTACAGCGAACATATTCTGACGCATCACGAAACAACAACAACAATCCATGCAACTGACAAAGGGGGTGGGTGGGGTGAGGGTGGCACCCGACCTCCTTTCTTTTTTCCTTTTCCTCTTTTTAAATCTGGAACAATAATCGGAATAATCAATACTAATTATTTTTCGGCAAATGATCGCACGATAATGCCGAATAGGGCCGAGTGGCGGTAGAAATCAAAATAAGCTATTCAATGATAAGGAAATAGATCAAGTCCACACATACCTAATATGGGTTTATATATCTCATCCCCACATTCGGCGTGACATCTGCATTTTTTGATGATGAATACTTTCCAAAAAGAATGTGAAAAAAAGTTGTGTGTGTGTGTGTGTGTGTGTGTGCGTGTGTTGTGTGTGTGTGTGTGTATTGATAAGTTACGGTATATGTATGTGTATGTGTGTATGTGTGTATATGGATATATCAATAGATTGTATGTGTGTATGTCTTGTCTATCTGTTATTCTGTTAGCTTTGTTATTTCTGTTATTCTCTCCCCATAATACATGAACCAAATTACAAATGGGTTAATGTATTAATATAATCGTTTTAATCAAACTATATATAGGATAACAGAGTCACAATTTCGTTATACAAACATTTAGCGATTTTTAATAAAGTAAAGTAAAATAAAATTACAAGTCAAAACCAGCCCATTTGTCATCGTGACACTCACACAATTAAATCAACTATAATGACCTTTTTTATAATAGCCTATTTCATGATGACCTTTTTTACAATGACCTTTTTATAATGACCTTTTATAATGACCTTTTATAATGACCTTTTTTATAATGACCTCTTTTTTTTCTTTTGGCGGTAAATAGGCTCCAGACCAAAATGCTGTCCGAGTCCTGTTTCATGACACAATTTTTCTTTCTTGGACCTTCTGCACTATATTTGGATGGCGTAGAACGGAATGCTTCTTTGTTAATGATTTCCCACAGCCCTATTGCAGAGCAAGTTTTCTGCCGGGCAATTTAAATCATCTAACTTTGTTTCTTGGCGCTTATTGCATCAGCCAAAATGTATTGGCTATGATCATAACTGGAGATGCATTGCATAGCATATAACACGGGGCTTTCATATTTTTTACCCATTGGGAAAAAAGTGACCCGATAGTGGTTTTTTTTTCTTGGCCGCACATCACTTTGCCAATCAATTAAGCTACAAATTAGAAATGCGCCCACCACAAAGTTTTGTTGTGCGACTTGCCTTATGACACAACCTGCCTATCTACGGAATCTAGAAGAATCAGGCGCGATTGAGTATTTGTAATCCTAAACAATGGCCCAGATTAATGGGTTTCTGAAAGGTCATTCATTCATTTCACAAAATTCGATGGGAATTTTCTGCAACCCCATACGTGGCAACAAATAAATATCATCACTTCACTACGGTAATACTATTAATACTATACGGCTGATCAGCCTTCGGACGCAGCATGTGGTAATCCCGATTTGTTCGCGTGTTTGTTTCTCAGCCACGATCTGTCATTTTGAAAATGCGAATATAAAAGGCCCTCCATTTTTCCTCCATTTTTGTTGTCCCACAATCTAACCACGCGGTTAAAGGGAAATTCTTATTTCAATAGAGTAAAGTCGGAATAAAACTGGCAAACAAAGAATTTTTTGACACTTATATACCCCGCCCGACCCCGCTAATCAGAAATTAAAATTCATATATTGTAAATATATATTCTGACAAACCCAAATCATTATATAAAAACTCTCGCATCCTGTCAAAACTCAATCACTCGTATTATATCGATTTATTTACACACTACATGGAATCATACATCACTGACAACAACAGCTTCCCCCAACTCATGCAATCAACCGAAATTTATCCACAACTACCATCACCCGAGATGGCAGTATCCGATCAGTCAGAAGGAGAAGTACCCTCATCACCATCACAACATTCTCAGTTGATGACACCTCCACCATCTTCCGATTTACAAATATTAACAAACGAGCAAGAAGAGCATGACATCGAGTTGGATGTTACAGGAGCCGATGGATATAATAATGTATTCATGTACATGTCTAATGATTTTAGGTAAATATTTCTTGAATTTCTTGCAATTGAATTGGAATGAGGTTTGCAACTACAACTCGACTAACAAACTCGTCTCGATTTTCTAGCGTTGATGCGTTAATAGATCAATTCGATTCTATTCCAACATGTGAAGAACTTTGTCAAACACTAAACAACTGGACAGATTCATACAAGGCAGAACAAACAATTTGTTCTTCGTGTGGACAAGCATTTGTAGAAGGCACTTTATGGTGCATAACATGCGACGCTGATCAAATAATAGTCGATGACGCATGGGCAGAAAATGCAGAAATAGTTGACGATTCAGATGATATGGGTCAACAGTTAGAAATGCTCGACTATGAATTTCTCGGCCCGTCTTTGGATGGTAGTGATATTGATCAGAAGCAATGGATCGAATTGCTTGAAAATGGAATGTTCTCGAACACCGAAGGAGGGAGCGAAGAAGATATAAACAAAATAGGGCACTTTGTATGTGATTCGAATATGTATTCATTAGGATCGGTTTATCCGGTTGAAACATCAATTTAGTTTGTAGACACACATGGCATTTTTTTGAAAACTATAATATGTACAGAATTAATTTGTAGAATGTCCGAATAAAATTTGCATCCAACACACTTTTTTCCTCATAGATTGTTTCGCATGCGACAAGACTTGAACGACAAAAATATACATCATTTGTTACGTCAATGTCCGACGTGAATCATATTAAAGTTTCTTTATATTATTTGTGTACAATATACACACACCTCCCCCTTTCTTCACAAGTGCTGCGATGCACATGTTCGGTCGAGAATATCGCCTCATTACTATAAATGGGTCAATCGATTTTACGTCTATCGCGTGACTCAAAGTTTATCGCTATATGTCCTTCCCTTCATGTTTCTGGGCATAACGTTGTGCCGAATTGATTACCTAAACCAGAGATGAACCAACAGTTTGTTTTCTTAATTTGGAAATATGCTGTTGATCAAATTACAAATTTAACCGAATAATAACACGCAACAACAATGGTTTTGATTTCTTTTTCAATATGTACGATTGTTTATTGTTATGCCTGTGAGTGCTTCAGAAAAAAACCAAACTTGGTGTTTCGTATTGACAATCGTTGCATAAAGTTAAGCCACAAAAGAGTGACCAGAATGAGATAAACCGGTTATTATCATTCCGCTGACTCAGCAGGAAAAAAAAAGGCGTATCTTTTAAATAGTTCTAGTCACGTGTGACACTTAATATGGTCAAAGAAAAGCGAACGCACATAATCGTAAAATTATTGTTGGGGGAATGGGATGGGAATGGATGAGGTCTGATGGGAGGGGTTGCTAAATTTAAGCAGATCATTGTAACAATGATGAAACGCATTTTTCCAATGCATCATCGATCATTTTTGAAACTGTCATATGTCTAGATTACTTTATTGTACAAACTCGATTCCCGGTAATGTAAGACTAGACTGAGGTGGAGTCCATAATAACTACTTGTGTAAATCGGATACCATTATTGTAATTCAAAGACCGGAATTCATCTCCGAAATGAAATATCAAGAACAGTCATTGTAAATGTCTAGTTGCTGATTAACAACTGTCAATGACATAACAGATTTTGGCGGAAAAAAGTAAGCTCGGCTGTTTCTTGTTTTGTGGGAGTCAACGACGTTGGTGACACACACGCAAAACTTGGACTTCTTAATTGGGAGCGAAAGGTTTTCGACTTTAAGGGGTGAAAGGTAGCTGTCGAAAACGCTCAGATTGTTCCACATCACAATTAGATTTATAATATTAAAGTTGCCTTTCGTACGTATTATGTTTATCATAACTATTATTCTACTCGAAAAGTTGGCTTTCTCTTATGTTTTCTTGTAGAAGAAAGCATACTATGGTGATAAAATTTGTCGACACCGTATCCGTTATTCTAACGAGGGAGAAGCGTGCTCATACTATTCAAAAGGCCAACACAGTCCATGAATATGAAAGATTATAAATGACTTGACTTGGATTTAGTCGCGTCATTTATATCAGTAAGATTGTAATAAAATAATAAAATGTAGCCTTCCCAATTTTCTGCTTTTCTTTTTATTCAGAAATAACAAATTAAAAAGCTAATTAATTCTAGATCACATATTAAATAAGAACCCAGCTTGTTATCAAAAAAAGAGGTTTTTTTTTCTCTTCAAGTGATATTCGGTATTTTATTTTTGTCGAGCTTTTTTCCTGTTAATTGTCGTCTAACATAAATCCAAAAACTTGTTTTTACAGCTTAGGATTGTCACTGATGTCAACCTCTGTCAACAGCGAAACTTCCTTGCGGAGATTTTGACTCTCTTTTGGAAACAACCGTAAATCAATGCTTTACAATGAGACACCAGCATCAGGGTAATCATCTTCGATACATGTATAATTTCTTTGGGTGTAAAGTTCTTTCATAATTACAGGATAAGGTGACAGCTTTTAATTTCTATTTTAGTGTGCAGAAACTATTAAACGTCTTCTAATTTACTTTTGAATCAATTCTCTTTCATAAACAAACCAATAAATGCAATCAACTAATTGAGTCTTTATTTATCATCTAATAATTTACTAGTAAGGGAATATGATAGCAGTGAATACATTAATAGCTTAATTCGAGAACATAATAGTAACATACAAATGTTACTATACATTAACGTCGGCCTCGAATATGAACAGCGAAAAAAATATATCAGTAATGAAAGAACGAATCAATAATTCTTACATGACGTGAGTTCTAGATTGTGGGTACCTAATTAAGGGAAGCGGTTTATTACTGACGAACGCTTGTTATCATTATTAACTAGGAAGATTAACGGTCCAGGTCAAATCCAGTCCTAGAATTGCAGTCCTATAGGATGGTTGTTAATTATCTCATGGGATTGCAATCCTATATAATTGTTACGTGGATTGATAATATATCAATAGGAAGCTACTATAAATTTGAGTCACGACACAAAAGTGTACGATGTAATTGAGTCAGAATTTTATAGCTAATTACACGTACAGCCCCCTCCCATAAATGACTGAGTAACACAAAATTTCGTAAATTATATGTCGAATTCGCACGCATGTAACAAA